TATGTTTTGGAAATGTCCAGTGTTTGCCTCCTTTTGGGATGAAATAATCAACATTTATGAATAGGCATGTTCTTCTTAACTGTCTACCCATTTCTTGGAACTTAATACAAGGTCCATATGAGTGGATTCTCCATGCTCTTTGCCAGCTAAAGGACCAATATTACAACACTGGAAGGACAAACAGCCACCTGCAACAGCAGAATGGCTGGAAGCCTTCATGGAACTTGGAACTTTTGAACAAGTGGACTTAAGGTACAATTTACAAATAGACAAGTATTTTGGCTGCCTTTGTTGAATAATGATCTTTAACAACAGTAGTATTGTTTTGCCACATATAAATCATATAGGGGAACATAGTGTGTGCATGCATGCATGTGCACACACACATGTATGTTTTATATCTACATGCATAATCTCTCTCTTTCTCTTTCTATGTATACAGAGAGAAAGTATAATGCATTTATTTATATTACATATAAGCATATGGCAACAATTTATGTTATTTTTCCCCTTTTCTCCTATGTTCTGACTTTCTCCTGTTTGGCTTTGATTTCAAAATACACAATCAAAATAAATTTTAACAATAAAGCCATTTTACTAACAACACCAACAAGTGCAGGAATAACAATCCTTTATATACCAAATTTCAAGTGCTCAGTCACTAGGAATAGGTGGGATACAAATGATGATGATCATGATGATTCTTCACATAAATCATCATCACAGTCCTTCTAACAACCCTTCAAAGTTGGCTAATATCACTGTCACTGTCTCTATAATGCCAGTTAGGATGTGGGGGAGAAGATGAGGCTGTACCGGTAGCGCCCCCTCCTGCAGGGTGTTTGTGTCTGAGCTGAGTATGAGCCAGGGACTTCCTGGGTCAGAGCTAAATGCAGGGCAAACATCAGCATAAGAGCAGTGCCAATGGGAAAGAGACACACCAAAGAGAACTGCAAGGAAGAAAAAGGTTACCAAAACATTTCATACATCCTTTCTGCAGCATTAGATAACTGACAAAAATATGCGACCATAATGGATTTCCAAGTGCAAGTAGAAATAGCTTCTTCTTGCACCAGAGTGTTGAAATCTTACACGGTTTACACTGAACTCAGCTCAGCATAATGTAAAACCCATGGGCCATTAATTCTTGGACATCTTCTTATTTCTTGGCCATAAATCCTACTACCTGATATTACAAACTGCTGTAAAATTCACAGATAAAAGATAATTTATGCTCAGTGTACAGAGTGTAATGTTTCTGTACTCCTGAGAAGCACAGTAGCAGAAAATGAGAAAGTATGCATATGAAACTTTAAACCATCCATTCTGACCATGGCTGACAATGATAAACATGGCTCTGGAGGGACCAGTGTTCTTCAAAGGAAGTTTAGCCTAATAGTAATTGACATTAGTTGAATTCTGAGCATAAAAGGGTATGGGTTGTTACATAAAGCCTCTTGCTCATAAAGAGCGATTCCATCTTATTAATGATTCATTTTCATCACTCAGAATATTACCCTAATTATTATTTAGTGAGGGTGTTATCTCATAATTCTGCTTTTTAAATTTGTTTTAGCCCAAATGGCTGAGCACATTAAGAATTTCTTCAAAGAAAAATGTCCTTTGTTGGAGTCTAAAAAAAAAAACACACACACACACACACAAGCTTTCATCTGCACATACAAATTCCTCCCTAAGTTTCTTCTCTTGTGGACTATGGCTGGATGGAGAAGGATTCCCCCCCTCCCCAATTAAGCAGCCTTTCATCTGAACAATTTAAAATGCTTTCTAAGAGCAATTCAAGCAGGCTTTTTAGGCAAACAGTTCATCACAGGATATTTTTTCCCTGGAATGTTCTACTTTAGACTGCATGTGGGGGACTGTATGACTGAATGTGCTAATCACCACCATATTAAAATCTGGATTGGGATGGGCGGAAGGTATAAAAAGGGTTTTGCCTGATGCTGAAAAGAATATAACATTGGCAGCAGGCAAACCTCTCCGGGGAGCATATTCCAGAGTTGGGGCGCTACCACAGAGAAGGCCCTCCTCTGGGTACCCTCCCTCCTCATCTCCTTCAAGGAGGGCTCTCAGGGCAGGACCTCCGCCTCAGATCTCAAGGGACAGGAGGGCACATAGGGAAGACACTAGGCCTCCATACATTTGGGGCTTTAGTTCCCAGATGCCCCCATTTTCCCTTTGCATTCAATTGTTTATACCAGATTGGCCCACAGCTGAGTTTTCCTAACAAGCTCACAGTTACTGAAAGAGAAAGAGAAAGCAAACCAAAGCAAAATGGGGGAACTGTGAAGCACCTTGTAGGCCATATATACATCAACAAACATTCCCTAAGACATCACTTCGACCTCATTCAGTCTAACTGGAGAAGGTGAGATGGCAAAACCCATTTCACTGAGTGGGCACTATTGTTCTGAGAAGTGTCCAATTCACCTGGTCATGTAACACATCATTCCCCAACCGGCTATGCTCCAGACATCCTGGAGGGGCACCCCAACTGTGGAATATGCTCCCTAGGGAGGTTTGCCTGGCGCGGTCACCCTACTCTTTTCGGTGTCAGGCGAAGACCTATTTTTATTTTCCTGACATTTTAACAATTAATTGATTTTATCCTTGTTTTTATCATTATTTATTGGATGCAGTGTGTTGAGTGCTGTTGTTATGGTTTCTTCGTTTTGTTTTTGTTTTTTGTCCTTTGTAAGCCATCCAGAGATTTTTAGTAATGGGATGGCATAAAAAACTTTAAATACATAAATAAATGATCAGGAGGACAATAGGATTTGTAGCATGGATGACTTGGCATGTGAAATTGCTTTGTTTCTCTGTTGTACAGCATCATGTTTTAGCATAAATCGCCTTCCTGGGCAGAAATACAGCATGGAAATATAACAAAGAAATAAGGAATAAGTACCTGGCTGGTCAGCCGTATTTAACTTAGTGGGGTGCAGGTTGTGCTGGCTTTTAGCACTGTTTATCTGTATTCCTGAACTGTCTACCACTGACCATATCTGAAATATCCCAGTATTGTACCATGGCACCCTGCACAGCAGGCCTCCCCGGCCTGCAAGCCTCCCCATTTGACTCCCCAGCCCCAGATTATTTTTGGCATCCCAAGCCACCAGCAAAGTCGGCAGTGGGCCACCACAAAGAGCTGGGGGTAGCTGTCATCAGCATAACAGTCAAACTTAAGTACTTTTTCAGTCCCAAGGATTTCACTGGAAAAGTTAAACGTGGGCTTAAGGCTGCATTTCCATGTATACTTAATTTGAAGTAAGCCCCACTGAATTCAACAGGACTTTCTGTTGAGGGTTGTGTTGTAAACATCCTCCATTGCAGATAATGGGCCTTAAAAACAGCATCACCACATGTTGAAACAATTCACTTTTCCTGAAAGATGATACTTGGCCAGTTTCTAATTTTGGTCAAGTGCACAAATTACATCTAGTTATGATTCCTCAAGGCTCATTCTGCAACCAGGAGGGTGAAAGGCATTTTTCTAAAAATGATGACAACTGGAATAAAATTTGGATGAACATGAGATCAACCTGAGAATTCCTTATTGGCGCATTTATTAAGAGAGGAAAGCAGAGGAAGGTAAGCAACTTTCAGATAAACAAAATGGGTGCCTGGTAGTGTGAGATTAAATAGCAGCCCATAACATCCAATTATTAATATTAAGGCAGAGCAAGTTTGTAAAATGGTTAGTGGTTTCATTTTCGCTTCAAATGATCTTTTTGTACAAACATTAAACCCTGGTAGTTCAAAAACCATTTAGATGCATTAATGCAACTTTGTAATAAAAGCAACCATTTGATGTCCTGAACAGGGCACTACTAACTTGTTCAGATGCTTCAAAAGGCTCTAACCAGCCTTCCTCAAAGTTATCTAAATTTAATTTACACTGCCAATCAGTGTGAGCAAATTGTTTACATTTAAACTACTCCCTCCATTCAAACTGCTTCACAATTATGTCCCTTCATTTATATATAAAAATATGTTTGTAGCTTTTCAGCCCCGCAAATGATAATAAGAGTGATATCTCACAGTAATAGCAGATACGTTTTTATGCCTAACATCCTTCTTAAACCATGAGGGTCTCATAAGCTGAGCAAAAGAATTTACTTCTGTATTTTAATATGCGTATTCTGGCCAGCAACAATAACCGAAGTAGAGGTGATCTGTGCATGGAGTCAGGGTTGGAAAGCCAAAGAGGGAAGCTGCAATATCCACTGGGTGCGGGGAGGTGATTTTGCTCATTATTGATAAATAATGTTATATTTTCAGGGGCTTCTCAAATGAGAGAAAGTAAGGCTACTCAAATGCTTATTTGAACACATTGGTGGTGGCCAACAATTTTAGTACATGCTCCTCTGTCACAAGCAATCCAAAGAGCACAAGTACCACTTGAGTGTGCATTCCTATACATGTACAACTCCTTGACTGTAGGCTATAAAGCTGGGGAGCAGGCAGCAACTGTTAGAAAAAGCTTGCTAGGCTTAGCATCTGGATATAAATTAAGGTGTCAGTGGGAAAAGCTGGTACAGCACAATCTGGATATGATCGAGGCAAACTTAAGCACACTTTGCATCCCACTGCTTTCAATGGAAGAATTAAACATGAGTGAATTTCTGGACACACTTGTCTGGAAGTAAGCCCCACTGAATTCAAAAGGATTTTCTTCTCTGTAAATAGGTATAGGACAGTGCTGTAAACATCTTGCATTCAATCAATGGGACTTAAAAAGAATTTAACTTTGACTTCATGAGGTCTTTTTTCTTTCCCTTCTCAGTCAATAACTTAATTTTAAACTTAAATAGATGGAAGTGAAACACTGGCTGTGCATATATATTGATTTCCCAATTGAAACAGTCATAATTCTTACTAAACGTGATAGACATTGCATGGCTAACAGTGCTGGGATCTTTATCCTGATTTAAAAAACAAAACAGAACACAAAACCCCTTAGGCTACCTTTTACTTACAGGTTGAAGCAGGTATATCAGGGAAAGGTCCTGAATAACTACGATGGGAAAGGGCGTTATCTTAACTGCATGGAAGAGAGTCTCCACAGATGCCATGATTTGGTCAAAGCGTCCTCCAAGTCCACCCAAGGTTACAATCATGTTGATCTAAAACAAAACAAACAACAACAACAACGATAACAACAACAAAACTTTTGAAGAAAGGAGATGGAATTTTGGAGCAAAATTAGAGATGCAACTTAGGAAGCATATTTTCTCCTTTTCTGTCAGATGAAATGCACAGATAAAGCCACCAATACATATTTATATAGTATTATTACCACCACTACTATATTACATGTATTTAATTTTTATCCTATGTGTCCATTATGAATAGTGGAATGCAGGAGCTGTCAAAAAGTTCATAGAAATTGTTCAGGAAGAGATTTGCACAATGGTGGGGGAATCAGAAAGATGCAGAATGCTGAAGGGCATGTATTGCACTCCTCTCTTTCCCTACTCACGGCTGTTTACAAGTTGTTTAGAAGACATTGTGACCTTCTAGTTTCACATCTGTATTTAACCATTATTGCTTGTGAATGTTTTTACAATACAGAAAATGCAGTAATGCAGTATTTAATTATAAAAGCGAAGTGGAGCAAGGCAAAGCAAATTCTTCTTGTGTATTTGTGTTATTCTACTGTATCACAGTGACACCTAGAGGTTCAGTGGTGGAAAAACAGGAAAGGAAGTGCTCAGATCTCAATTCAGAAGGTTAACAACCTTGTATAAAAAAGAGATTTGGCCACACCGAGGTACTTTGCATCTTTCAAATATCTCCTTTATTCACACTGTGGAATATTATTTTATTTATTTATTTATTTATTTATTTATTAAAACATTTCTATGCCGCCCCTTGCCAAAGCCTCGGGGCGGCTCACAACATAGAAAAAATACACAATAAATTAAAACAATAACAATTAAAATATATACATTAGAATAAAATAAGCCGCCCTGGCCAAATAAAATTCAATAATATTAACATTTAAAATGCTGCCTAAATAAAAAGGTCTTCGCCTGGCGCCAAAAAACAAATAATGACGGCGCCAGGCGGACCTCTCTGGGGAGCGCATTCCATAACTTAGGCGCCACCGCTGAGAAAGCCCTCCTCCGAGTAACCACCCTCCTAATTTCCTTCACTGAGGGCTCCCGGAGGAGGGCCTCTCCCGCTGATCTCAGAGGGCGGCTGGGCATATATGGACGTAAGCGCTCCTTCAGGTAATATATCTTCTTCTCTTTCTTTCACAAAGACATGCACTGTGAAGAGTTAGTTCCTGCTATTTGATCATAGTACTATGACCAAGAAACTGAAACCAGAAAACAATGCAGAGAGGAACCAGTTTGATACTCCATGGATGGGCAACAGGGCTTTAGCTCCCCTGAGAGGTTCCCCTGAATTCAGCCTTTAACTTTCACCCATATAAGAGAACATATGCAATTCTGTGGGTAAATCTAGCCCACAGAATTGGAGGGATTATTGCAGCAAAACCTATCCCCTCTCAACACTGTGTAGCTCAGCCTTCAATTCACAGCAATCCTCCAAAAAGATCCAGTATGTCCAATTTATGTTTCCAGTCCCAAGGTCCTTGCCATAGAGAATTTGTTTCTCCTACTATTACAGATCCCCATTTTTACATATTGTGCTTTAAGAACCAGGTTTGGTAAGTTACTACTCCACGGGGTTTACAACCCAAGAATAAATGCAAATGAAACAAAAGAGGAAGGGGAAGGAAATAAAGGCAGGAATAGAGAGCAAATGTATTATTATTACCAGTATGTACCAGTATGTACTTTGCATTGGTTACGATAAGGCAGCTTCCCTAACCTGGTGTGTGAAGAGTTGTTGGACTTCAATTCCCATTATTGCCAGGAAGCATGCCCAATGGTCAGGTGCACTAGAAGGTGCAGCCCAAAACATCCAGTGGGCATCAGGCTGGGGAAGAATGTATTAGACTATTGAGATAAGACTGAGCAGCTTTACAGATTGTTTATAAAGGATGTGAAGGAGGTACAGGAGGTAGCATCACAGACATCTTCTACAAGGCAGCTTCCGGAATAGTTGGTGGCAAGCAGGAACCAGAAGACCTTTGGGTGGTGGGACTGGATACACAAGTTCATTGGCAGGGATGTATTAGGAGGAAAGAAGGGAGAGATGAGGGGAGATAAAGTTTTGACAGTGAAGATGAGATACTTGAAGAGTATCTGGAAGCAGAAGGAAAACCAACCTAAGAGCTTACAAAAGGGTGTTCTGTGGTCCCTGTAATGAGAATGCTGGATGAATTGCAAAGCTGGATGGATGTGGATTGACTGAGACAAAACAGGAAGACCAGAGAGGTGAAGGGTGAAGTAGCCAGGGTGAAAGGTGACCAAGATGTGGGCCAGATTTTTTGCTCAAGGTACAGCAAGGAAGGCCACAATTTTGAAATGTCTGAAGGGAGAAGCACCATGATTTGCTGATACACCCCATCTCTCTGAACAATTAGGCTTTTGTTAGTCATAAAATAGTGCCCCCCCCTCCAAAGTGGGGGAGGAGGTTCTAAAACAGCTACTAATCATGGGACAAAACTGTTAATATATGATCATCATCACACAGCTTTTCAGATCTGATTCCTACAGGGACTAATGGAAGGGACAATTAGTTTTAAACATTTATAAGCTTGTTAAACAACATGCTTTGGTGCTAATTGATGCAGCAGGCATTTCTCACTCTTGAGTAGAAAGCTTAATATCAAAGGCAGTATTAGCTGTACAATCATAGTGAATATGTATTGATGGATCAGGTGGAAATGAGACAGGACCAAAGAAGTTTAAAGAAAGGTGAATGAAAAGAAGCTGCTATCTACATGTTTCTAATATGCTTGATCACATTTATTAATGGGCACTACATGGAAATTAAGAATCACGCAATGAACCATCATTGGACTGATCTTTCTTCTCCTCCCATGCTTTCTGGGAATACCTACCACAATATTAGGAAAAACACAATATTATTATGGAGGAAATGATTGGAACACATGACAGATATTCAAGCAATGAATATTCATATATCAAAGCACTCAAGCAATCCTGCTCTGTATCTCCCACCTGGACATATATTTTGATGTTTTCTATATTTAGCATCGATGTTGATGTTCCATTGATGTTATCCTTTCTGTTGTAGTTTCCTTTTATTTTTTTCTTATGCATGCATTTATGCGTAATTTCTTTTTATGTATGTATTTACGTATTTATTTATTACATTTGTAAACTTCCTTGTAACATAAATTTCTCTGGGTGGCATAAATGAATATGAAAACAATGTGGATACAAAATAAAACATAAAATAACATCAACAACAGAAAGCAACAACAGAAAGCAAATCTGATAGCAACCCCAGAGTTAAAACAGATTGTAAAATGGAGAAGCCCAGACTATATAAATTATTTAAAAGGCCTAGATGAACAAGAAGAGCCATTTTTCTTCTTTCCTTAATTTTGTATTTTAATTTTATTCATAGGTTAACTATTGCAATGTGCATACAAATAAGCAAATAAGTAAATTATCCTGTGTTGTTTGATATTGTTTGTTTAAAAGGGTTCATGCTGCCCTAACCCCACTGAGCAGTTTTTGTGTTCATAAAGAGACTACAAAGATACACAGCCTCAAACCATTTGGGAACAAATTATTTGGAGGCTCACATTTGAGTTTGCTGATGACACCAAACTATTTGGGATGGTCAAAACCAATAGGGATTGTGAGGCGCTTCAAAGGGATTTCTATAGGCTGGGAGAGGGGGCATCAAAATGGCAAATGCAGTTCAATGTTAGCAAGAGCAAAGTTGGGGCAAAAACTATTGGGGCAAAAAATCCATATGGTGATGGGACTGGAGCTAGTAATGACTGAGCAAGAAAGAGATGTTGGGATAATAGAAGACAGCTTGATAAAAATGTTGGCGCAGTGCATGGCTGCTGTGAAAAAGGCCAACTCCATGGTAGGAATAATTAGAAACAGAATAGAAAACTGCCAAGATAATACAAATCCTTGATCCAGCCACTCTTAGAATGCTGTGTACAGTTCTGGTCTCCTCATTGAAACAAGGACGTCAATGAATTAGAAAAAGTATAAAGAAGAGTAATGAAAATGGTAAGTGTGGTAAGAGCCTCTCTTTTATGAGGAGCAGTTACAACACTGGAATCGTTCAGCTTAGAAAAAAGGTAAGTAAGGGGTGTTTGGCACCATGGACAGAATGGAGAAAATGGGAGAGGGAGACATTTTTCAGTTTCGCATAACACTTGAACATGGTGTCGTTCTATGGAAATGATTGCGAGGAAGGTTTAGATACAAAGAGGAAGCACCGTTTCACACAAAGAATAGCTGAACTATGGAATTCAGCACAATGGGGAGTAGTGATGGCTGCTAATCTGGATGGCTTTAAAAGGGCTTGGAACGATTTATGAGGGAGGAGGCTATCAGTGGCTACTAGCCTTGCTGGCTAAGTGCTGCCAGAGGCGGCATGCCTGCATGCAGCAGTCGCTGAGGAGCTGGGCCCTTCCTGCCTGAGGGATCCTGTGGGCAGCTGCTTTGCCACCATGCATACAAAATGTTGAACTAGATGAACCCTTGGTCTGATCAAGTATGATTCTTCTTCACTCACATCAGGCTGCCTGCACTTTAGGGGCATCGTCCAACATGACTATTTAACGTGGAGGGTGTGGGCATCCAATTGAAAGGAGGGGAAATACAGGGGCTCCACTCTTCTCTGACCCTGCAGAAGACATAGATATCCCTAACCCTAACCCTGCTCACATGAAGGAGAGGCCGAGGGACCACTTGTGTCCCAGCAGAGCCTCACTCCTCTGCTCCCTACCCACTGGAACACTCCTCCACACCAAATAAATAAAACCCAACTCCCACGTGGCATCCTGCATATCCTGTGCCAGTATATGGTACAGTTGCTGTGCATAGGTTAGGCTAGAAGTAGTTTGTTATTCTTCCGCAAATACTGTCTTGAGAGGCTAAGCACTCTCTATGCAATCATGTTCTTTAGACAAGCCAATGGGGAGGATGAACCCACCTGAACCTTCTGCAGTAAAATCCTATAAGTTAACCAATGCAATTTAACTGCAATG